AGGGGGCTGGGTGGGTGTCACGGGGTGGGGTCCCCAGGGATGGCTGTGATGCTCCAGGACCATGCCAATCTTGCTTAATGGGCACCCTTTTCCTCTCCTGCCACATCTTGCTGGTAATTATAAATATAGGGAGGCTGCCCTCGAGTTTATTTGGACATAGTCCTGCTGGACCCTGCTGAACCCAGTGGGTTCTTGAACCCCTTTTTGGGTCACGCTCAAAATGGATGCCTCACAGGACACCCTCACCCTTATGGGCTAGTTGCGTGGCTCCAGAACTGCCCCTTTACCACTCCTCAAGCCTCTCAGATGGCATTCACTCATCATCTTGCTGAGGCCCTAGCCTAGCTAGGCCTCTGGTCATTGCTGGCTTCTCTGCAGCCCTGTCTCTGTGCCCACACTGGTGCTGGAGTCTGCTCACCCCTTTTGTCGCTGCACCCCCTGGTGCTGGGGTCCCTACACTGTAGTGGGCCCCCCCCCAGTGAGGCCTTCTCCTTCCCCAATAGCCTCAGCCCAATCCACTGGTGTATAAACAGCATCTAAAATATGAGCCCCTGGTGTTTAACATAATACAAAGAGTTCAGGGTGTGCTCTGTTCCTTTAAAAGAAGTCAAACTCCCCCCAGCACTAAATACCTTGTAGGCCAAGGTATCTGGTGAGCTCCTGGAGCCCCTTAATCCTACCAGAACTAGAACAGGCAGGCAAGCCTCTATGGTTAGCTAGCTGTCTAAGAGCTCTTTCCTCCTTAGCTACTGACACAGAACTCGGACTCTAGTCCTAGCCCTGGGGTTTATATATGCCCAGGGCCCTGCCTCTTCCAGTCAGCTGACCAGCTGCAGGTGCAGGCTAATTCCCTCATTAGCTGGCTGCCATAGCAACCTGCACCTGTGGGACTTCTAAATTGCTCTTAGGGCTCTCTCTCTAGGCAGTTTCTGCTCTTAAAGGAGCAGGTACCTTAGTGCCCTGCAACAGTGAGTTTGACACCCTGGTTTAGTGTCTTGTAAACAGAAGGCTCTTCAATGACATCATCTATTGTTAATGGAATTTTCATCCCAAATTTTACCAAAGTTACCCTTTGATATTGTCATTATATCCAATTGCCTTTCAGCAAAATATGTTGGTATGTGAAACAAAATTGTTATATTTTGGTTTTTGATTTGAAATGCATAATTCAAGAATTATACACCAGTTCCTTTCTTTTTTAATAGGAACTCATAACCACCCTATACATTGGATTCCTGGGGTTGATCTTTTCATCTTATTTTGTCTACCTCGCTGAGAAGGACGCAGTGGATGAAGAGGGAAAGACTGGATTTTCTAGCTATGCTGATGCACTGTGGTGGGGTGTGGTGAGTCATCCACAGTCCAATTTGTGCCCAGTCTCTGAGTCTATGCTCCTCTTGTAGGATGTTCCACTGAACTTAATGGAGATTTTTTTTGCCTGAATAAGGATTATTTATTTGAAGAATCAGGCTTTTTTCATTGTTAGTAGTAAGCTGGAAGGCAAATTTCAGTAAGCAAAACTAAAGAAAACTGATAGAATAAATGTAACTGAAACATTTCTTACCATCTGGGGGGAAAAAAACCCCCTAACTCCCAGGCTGTAGAGTGTAGCGTATTCTGGGTGGGAGTATTATTTCACTACTGGAGAAAGAATTGCAAGAGTCAAAGTATGTGATTCTGTAGCTTAGTGCTGATGACACTATCCTGAAAGGGCAGGAAATGCTTGAGGATGCTGAATTACCCTTTTGCTTGGGAATGTCGTCTTCTCTCTCATTAGCTGTTTCCATCTGAAGCTACTGTCTTTTTTGAGGCATCTCTGGCTACTAGTGAACCTCACGTAGCTTATTAGCAGTGAATCTCTGTGACAAAACTGAGAAGGATAATCGCACTAATACTAGTGACAGGCTGACAGCAGTGGGAATGAAGCTCATGACACCAAGGGTATTTGCGATCACAGGTCACACCGAAACAAACATTGACTTCCCTAGATAACCAGACCCTGCCCACTTACCTGCTCAGCCCCTATGCATCTGCTAACTGTCCGTGTTCCTTTTTCTTTCCTGTCCTTGCTATAGACCACAATCTTAATTCTTGCATTATACTTTCAAATATATAGGTAATATATTGTGCCCTTGTCTAATCTAGATTCATATACCAAATATATATTTTTGAGGCAATAAGGTTAAAAATTGGGTGCATGCTATTTTTATATGTGCAGCGATATTTCTTGACCAGGTGCAGATTGAGGCCAGGAACAGATGTTGCATTTGTTCTGGGATAAGCTGTGCCAGCATTTGTCCCAGAACACAAAAGTCCCAAAATTAGCATGTACGCACCTTGCCCTTCCAATAGGGTATTCAGTGAGCTGCTGAATGTTTAGTGGCTTTTCTGCCATTGCTTGAAAGATGCAGTCTTAAGACAAAATGCATTTAAACAGCTGTCATGCCCCCAGGACAGACTGTTAGCACTTCTTTTTCTGTGAACCTTTTTAGGGTTTGTTCTGAGACGACTGATGGGGACATCTGAACAATTGTACCTTGTCCTAGGGTTAAATGCCTTCTCCTGGGACAAATGTGGTGTCTGTAGCCTGAGACTAAGTCTTAATACCCTTTATTATTATATATTATACCCTTTATTTATTATTATATTAATTCCTTTCTATTTATTCCTCCCCCAAAATCCTAATTTTTGTTAGTCTATTTTGATTCTTTTCCCCAGAAAAGAAATCTGTGCTTTCTC